CCGCCCCGGCCCGGACCACCCGGATTGACACCTCTACATCGACTATTTGCAACGAGTTATTGCAATAAATACTGCATATTTGCTTTTCTTTTTAAAGAAATAAACAACTTCCAAACATACTTTTCCTATTTCATTCAAATTTAAGCTTTGCGACAAGGTTTTCATATCACCAATGGTAGAGGTGTCAACTGAGTCGATCCGCACTTGGTCCAGATCGACCAAGCCCAGCAGTAAATATAAGTGCTAGGTGATGGAAAATGTTCTATTATGTTAAGCCCCATGTTCGACAACCATTACTTAGAAAAAACAATATTTTGAATAGTGATTTTTAGAAGAATGTGGTTAGAAAGTAGAGACATTTTAGATTTACATGCAGAATATTTTAGTGTATAAATGTGTGATTAAAAATGAGTATATAAAAATAAGAGTTTTCAAATAATAGTTGTCAAACATAGGCTAAAAGAGTTAAAACAACTATTTTTTTTGGTTTACTGCAGGCTGCAGCTATTATCTGAGGACACTGTTCGAGCTAAAGACGAAGCTTTCTTCACCAGCAATTGTTGAATTCAGCCTCCCAGCTGCCCACCCATTATTCAAAGCACGGACAGCAGCGCGAGCAGGATCACCAGTAACTCGAGTGCCATCAACTTGTTTCTCATATTCTGAAAGACCATTTGCCTTCCTCCCTTTCATTCTTTTCCGCTCTTCATCTCTTTCTTTCCTCAGCCAACTCTCCACAATTCTCTGCAAATCCAATTTAACAAGGCACTGACCACAAGAATTTTGAAACTAGTAGTAACGTTGACCATTACAAAGGATACTCAGCAAAATAAGAAACGGATTCAGTTAGCATCGCCTGTGTTTGTACCTAGATAATCACTTCATAAAATATATATCACTAAGGCATGTTTTGTAAGCCTAAATTTTTATATTTATTTATATTTATTTATTTATTTTTTGGAAAAGTAAGCTTTTGAACCAAAAGTTACTTTCACATTTTTTTTTTTTGCAACAAAAAAGTTACTTTAAATGAACTTTAAAGCTTAAATATATTATTGGTTAAGCTTGAAAGTTGCTCTTAAGAGCATTTTTGGGAGTACTTTTCCAAGCTTATATGCCGTTCGAACATCATCTTTATTCACAATCCTCAACTTCCATCCACGTATTTTATAGAACTCATTGCTTATAATTCACAAAAAGCTTTACCAAACAAACACTAAGTACTTGTACTTTTTTTAGGCTTAGCCAAACATGCACAGGCGGTTTAATGAGCATTTAGATGAAGAATTTTGATTTCCAAAGGTGGAGGAACTGACCATCAGTGACAAACTGCTACTCTCCTTCACTTGATCCATGGGCATTGCCAATTGCAACTTTCCATGTGCCACATAAACCTCAAATAATTAACGAGTACATCAAAAATTAGAATTAGAAGACGAGCCAAAGATAGAAATATGAAAGAACTTCGGAATCAGAACTCGCTGAGCAAAAGTAACTAAAACAATGT